GTGACAGTTATAAGAAAACGCTTTAATACATGTAATGAATGACATTACTAAGAAGAGTTTTAATGTTGGGTAACTGTTATTAAGAGTTAATGTCGAGCAACGGTTAGAAACTTATTATGTGACCATTAAAGTAATTAAGTATAATAAGACTCATTCTCGAATAGAAGTTAATAGAAAAGAGGTATATATCAAAAGGTACAAAAAAAGAAACCGTACATGAATAGGTACAAGAGAAGAAGCTGTACGTAAACAGATATAAGAGAAGAAGCTGTACGTGAATAGGTACAAGAGAAGAAGGTGTATGTGAACAAGTAGACACGAATATGGTAAGAGGGGAAAACACTTGTATTTCAAGAAAAGTTAAAAGGAAGACCTCTTAACTACCTCCATATTTGAGCCATCAAATCAAACTCTTAAGAACATCCTAAGATTAAAGTAACCCATGAACCCTACCATCTATTCCGAGTTGCTTTCATTGTCATCCGTGTGAAATGGTTATTCTAGACAAAGTAATTATTCTACTTGTAGTAGTTGTTTCATACAAAATAGTACTCCACTTATTCTAATTGTTTTACATAAAGTAGTGTGTCACTTATTTTAGTTATTTTTATTATTCTCTGTATAATACTACGCTGTAAAACAATTCTTTAAAAAATAGATATTAATCAAAATCAACTATCTATAGTGAGCTACCCTTTTGCGCTACCCTTTTGCGCAAGCAGTATGGCTAGCATCCAGATGGGGTCTTCGAAAAATGTTCATGACTACTGAGGACTGGTTTAGGGAAATTTAGACCATGGTTACTAAAAATGAATTGGAAGACATAGGAGGTATTATGTGGGCATTATGGAAAGCCAGAAACCTACTCATATTTAAAAACTAGCATCTGGATCCGTTGGCTGTCATCAATTTGGGGTAGGACATGGTGTTACATAAGAAGGGTCGATGCAGGGATCGAAAAACATACAAGATGGAGATGTCCTAGTGGTTGGAAACTTAACACTGATGCTGCAGTCCTCAAGACAGATAGAGTTCAGCAGATAGGAGCAAGATTTATTATTAGAGAACCAACGGGTGAGATACGATTAACTGGTGTCAAAAGGCTTCAGTCAGGTTCGTGTGCAGATGAAGCTGAGTTATTAGCTTTAACCTGGTCCGTACAATGCTATATTGAAGAAAATGTAGAGCTTGATGAAGTCGAGATTGACAACCAGACTGTGGTTGAATGGGTTAATCACAAGAAATATAGTGGAGCTCTAGGAAATATTGTGGAAGACTATTTAATGGCTTTATAGGAAATAAGTTGCACGTCTTTGGAATATTGCCCAAGAGAGTGTAATGCACCGGCTTAGATGATAACGCAAGTTGCAAAGGGCTTGGATGCAAAACAGCTATTCTAGAGGGATACAATGGAGATGCCAAACCAAGTCAAATATGTAATCTGGAGGGACATGAATATGCTCAGCTAACCGGTATGCGGCTTATGAGAATAGGGAAAGATACATGATAAGCAAGGGCACTCTTTTTCCTTATCCATGGTTTTTACTCCAAAGGGTTTTTTCATGGAAAAGTTTTTTAACGAGGCCTTTCTTACATCTATAGTGTGATAGGGTGATTCAATTCTATTGAGATTGATTATAGTGTATCTGTTATGAGCTCTCATTGTAATTCTTATGATGAATTAATGCAATACATCATTCATTCCGAAAAAAAAAATCTACCCAAATAATTATATTTAACAAATCCAAAATTTAGCAATATACAAACCCAATCCAAACAAAAGATAAAGGTGGGGAGAAGACCAACAAAAAAAATCAGCATCCGAAACCCAATCTAAACCAAACAAAAAGTCGTCTTGGACCAAGCAGGCAAGTGGGTGAGAACGGAAGAGTAGTGAAGTACATGGAATCAAAGATTACCAAGGTCATGTCACCAAAACAAAACCAACAAACAATCAGTCCATCTCTGTCTTTTGTTGATTGTTCTATTAAAGTTTATATCCACGGCCCCAGCACGCAATGCTTTGCATTTTCCTTTTGGTTTTTTTTCCACAGTCAACGAAGATAGAACCTTGAGCTTTCCCAATTTTCCACCGACAGGGGACCACTAGCCAGTGTCTAAACGTACAAGTATAGAAAAGTGGCATTATAATTAAATTAACTTTAATTTGAAATTTTTAATCTTATTATCTACAAAATTATAAAAAATAATAATAAATTCATTAATATTATTAATTATATAAAACTTTAATATAAATAATATAACTAATACAAATTTTTGACATTTCAGTAATGTCATCTAACACAACTTCACTATATGTCCGTGCAACCCTGATTATACATTTTTTTCTTGTCTTTAATACTTAAATTATAATCAAGATTTCATATGCATACTTGGTTGTTGGCAGACAGCTACATGAATCATTAAATAAAGTGTCTCTTCAACCTAATGCCAGCTGCTTTACCTAACTTTATAAAAATTTAAAATCTTTTATGATATTAAAAAAAAGTAAAATAAAATTAATAATAAGTATAAAAAATATAAGAATATTAAATATTGATTTACAAGGAAAAAAAAATTTTAAGTATCTCAAAAAAGATAAATGAAAAAAAAAAGGACAAGAAGGAGTACATCATATCATTATCTCTAATCTTGGAAAAGCAAGCAAAAGGGAATTTTTGAGTAAATTGTGCACTAAAGTCATCATTTTTGACTTTATTGATAAGGACTATTTGATCTATAAGGTTAAACTGTAAGTATGAATTTAAAAACAATAAAGAAACCTATAAACACATTCAACTAGTTAATAAAAAATGAAATTAAAAAAAAAGAAAGTCCAAGGAGATGAGGACTCTCTAATAAATAATAATAAAAATAAAAATAATTATCGTTAAAAGTTTTCATTGAAAAGACTTAATTGTAAGAATTAATATAAAAACTCATAAAAGTAGAATAAATAATTGTAAAACCCTAATGTAAATATGTGAGAATTAATGTGTATCAATTGGATAAAAAAACTCTAATTTTTGTAAAAAATAAATATTTAAATTTATATTCTTGAGTTAAAAGTAGTTAAACGATTTACAAAATTTAATTTAAAAATAAATAATAATAAGAATAAAAATAATTATTATTAAAAGTTGTTATTGAAAAACCTTGACTTAAAGTTATAAGAATTGACATAGAAACTTATAAAAGTGGAACAAGTACTTTTAAAATCTTAACCTAAATGTGCGAAAGTTAACATAATAAGTCAATTAAAACACAAAAATCTAATTTTAATGAAAAACAAACATTAAATTTATATTTTTGAGCTAAAACTATTTAACAATTTATAAATTTTAATTTAAAAATAAATAATAATAAAATTAATTATTTTTAAAAATTACCATTGAAAAGCTTTAACGTAAAGTTATACGAATTGATGTAAAAATTCATAAATGGAGAACGAGTATATTTAAAATTCTAACGTAAATGTGTGAGAGTTAATATAAAAATGAATTACCTTAATAACTTTTAATTTTAATAAAAACAAATGTTTGAATTTATATTCTCAAGGTAAAAGTATTTAATAATATAAAAATTTTAATTTTAAAATAAAAAATAATAAAGATAAAAATAATTATAGTTAAAAGTTACCATTAAAAAGGTTTAATGGAAAACTATAAGAATTGACGTAAAAACTTATAAATGTAGAATAAATATATTTAAAATTTTAACATAAGTGTGTGAGAGGTAATGTAATAAATTAATTAAATCACAAAATTATAATTTTAATGAAAAGAAACATTTAAATTTATATTTTTGGACTAAAAGTATTTAATAATTTATAATTTTTAATTTAAAAATAAATAATTATAAAAATAAAAATAATAATTATTAAAAGTTATTATTGAAAAAACTTGACGTAAAATTATAAGAATTGGGGTAAAAACTCATAAAGGTGAAAGAAACATATTTAAAATTTTAACATAAATGTGTGAGAGGTAACGTGACAGGTCAATTAAGTCACAAAAATATAATTTTAGTGAAAAATAAACATTTAAATTTATATTTTTAGATTAAAAGTATTTAATTAATGATTTATAAATTTTAATTTAAAAATAATAATAATAAAGATAAAAATAATTATTGTTAAAGTTGTCATTAAAAAGTTTTAACATAAAAATATAAAAATTGACGTAAAAACTCGTAAAAATGAAATAAGTATATTTAAAATCTGAACGTAAATATATGAGAATTAATGTAACAAGTCAAGTAAGTCATAAAATTTTAATTGTAATGAAAGATAAATATTTAAATTTATATTTTTAAGTTAAAAGTATTTAATGATTTATAAATTTTAGTTTAAAAATAAGTAATAAAAAATAAAAATAATTATAATTAAAAATCATCATCTAAAAACTTTGATATAAAGCTATAAAAATAAGTAAAAAACTCATAAAAGTAGAACAAATATATTTAAATTCTAATAAAAAATAAATAATAATGAAGATAAAAGTTATCATTAAAAACTTTTGACATAATTGATGTAAAAATAGATAATTTCTAAAAAATTAACTACATTTGTTAACATAAAATGAAGAAGCTTAAAAATCATTTATATTATTTATCTGTTATAGGGGTTTTGATTACTTTTTCAAAATAATATTAATTGATTTAGAATAAAGTTAGACTTTCTTTTGCCGTCACCCGGGATTTGTGTGACTCGAACGAAAAGTGCTGCTTGTTGACGGTATGAAAACTTGCTCAGCCGTGGAAATACTTTACAAAAGCAAACAGGTAATTCTTTATTATAAATTGCTCCAACAATAAGTTATTATAAATTTATTTAATTCAATGGGGTAAACTTACTTTTTTATTTTAAATATAATTAAATTAAATTAAAATAATGAACCGCCTTCAGTCCTAAAAGAAAAAAAAAGCCAGCGAATATTAAAAAAAAAAAGCAACAGAGAAATAGAAAAGATGGAGCGGGTTATTTTAATCAACTTTGACTTGATAGGAACTAACACGGCATTATTTAGCATAGCAAAATTATTCTCTTCCTTCTTCATTTCTCTGGGTGTCGTACCATAGTAGTATAAATATAGTTGTGATTGTTATATAGTGGTAGATGGTCAGAAAGAGTTGAAAAAAATGGAGGAAGTGAAGGAGAATCTGTACGCGTTGCCATTGAGAATGTTGGAAGAAAGTAGCGGCAGTTCTTCTTCTTCTTCATCGGACCCAGTAGATGCGGTTATCTTTGTTGGGATTTCGTTGGTGTTGGGAATTGCTTCAAGACATCTTCTCCGCGGTACCAGAGTTCCTTACACTGTTGCTTTGCTCATCATTGGCATTGGCCTTGGCTCTCTCGGTTCGCTTCTTCCTCCCTACACCCCCCCATCACTTCATTTTTCTTTCCCTTCTCCTGGTTCTTTTTCTTATTTATCATTATTAATAAACTTTAACAGCCAGCTTAATTAATTATCGTGGGAAGTAGAATTATGAGTTGAACTTTGATGGGTTGGACCTTTTCTGGTTTTTTCTATTCCCCATTTAAAAGTTTATTTTTTTTATTCAAACCAGATTATGAACCTTCTGCTTTACAAATCAAACTGAGTTTCAGCAGCTTTATAAAAGTTCCATTCAATATGTTGCTTTATTGATATTGCTAATTAACTTCTTCAACTATTCCTTTTGCCACTAGAAGTTTATCTACTTGAGTCATCTAAATTGAATTTGGTATATCACAAGATCTTATGTAGATTGTTTTCTTTAATTTTGTAAAAAATAAAAAAAAAGTGATAACTTCTGGGCATTTCTTTCTGTCTAATTTTTCTCTTTAATATAATTTCTATCCCTGCCTCTGAGACTGTTAAATTCTCCTCACATCCTTATATTATTTATATACATACATACATACATACATATATATGTATATATTCAATTCTGAACATATTTTTAGTGGAAGTGAGTTTACACTTACAAGTGAAAATTGAGCTAAGTTGTCAACCAGGATAGCACAGCCATAAAATATGTTTTCCTTAACTGCAATCACAATTTTCATATTTACTTTTGAAAAACTAACTTGGCACATGCTTTGAAGATTCCTGAAATTATGGCTTATCCTTGTTGTGAATCTCACATGAAACAATCTGAATTTCATAACTTCTAAATATGTGTAATATTTGCATATATAGAGAACTTCTGTCCACTTTTATCTCATATTTACTTTTAGTTGAACATTTTCATTGATCAATAAGCGAGTGACCAAATTTGGTCATGCTAAGTTGGATGCTCATTACAAGTTTTTTACTTTGTTTTCTGTCCTTTCAGCATGGTTTCTACCATTTCTTAATAAATGCTTTGTTTTTTTTCTCCTTCATTCTTTTGTTGTTCCCTATAGAAGTTATTAACTCATTCTAAATGCGGTGCCTTACTGTGCAGAATATGGTACAAGCCATAAATTAGGAAAAATTGGTGATGGCATTCGTCTTTGTAAGTTCCAACGCGTTTTTATCCTCTTCCTCTGACAAATTTAAGCCCTTGGTATATTATTATCTGAAAAGGTACCTCTAGTTTATCAAGAATTAGCAATAAAACTAAGGGTGTTCCTACTAATTTTGCAGGGAACAGTATTGATCCGGACCTTCTATTGGCTGTTTTTCTTCCTGCCTTACTTTTTGAGAGTGCATTTTCTATGGAAGTGCACCAGATAAAGGTCTGTATTTGCTACTGTGGCTTATGTGTGCATCAGACTACTCATATTCACAGGGGAACCAAAAAAAGAAAAAAAGCTTGCCTCTTAAATGACAAGTCGTTTGAGTTCTGGCATTCAAAATCTTCTCTTCCTCTCTTTTGTCTGACTGATGTAGTGCATAGACAAACTGAAAAACAAACTCCAACTACACTGTGCAGTCCTCCACCTAATAATTATAGGTTCATTTCTCTTGTTTGCTAGTATCATGCCTGCATGTGCAGGGGAGCGTCAAGGTGTTATCCAATATAGATGCAGTTTGGGATTTGTAGTGACCTTTTCTATAAGTGGAGTCCCTCAAATTATAGCTGATTGGTTTTAGTCAGATGCTCAGTACCTTCTAATCAAGCTCAGCTTAAGGCACCTTATGTAAAAATGTTAAAATCTTAGCTTATTGATAGCCTCTGAAGGGAAGAATGTGAATTGTGAATGTGAATTCTCATTCTTCTCTCCTCCAGGCAGTTTTGTCCGAATCAAAGCATTTTTTTTCTCTAATTTCTGATTGTTGACTTTCTTGCTTCATTCATCACCCTTTTTCTATGATTTGGACTTGGAGGAAAAGGAAAGGAGAGGGAACGGTGACAGTGAAGTGAAGGAGGAAGGGGAAGGTTTTACTAACCCTCTAATGGTTTCCATTTACCTTCTTTCCCCCCAATCCCATCAAAGTGTTTGTCTTTATTTTCTTTCTTTAGCTTTCTTCCCCCTTCGCATGTGTACATGGAATGTTTTAGATTCTTGGGAACTACTTAATGTTTTAGGCCTGTTGCTAGTTTCAAAGGCTTTTTTTTTTTTCTATATACTTGGATTCGGCCCTTTGATTGATTTTTCTTTTCTCAATAAAAGGAAAAGATTGCCAAAATTTTTTCTTTTGCCTCTGCTGGTGTATGTGTATAACAATATGATAGCCATTAGGTTATGACTTAAAACCTTATTGGACTTTGAGGAAACTGTGGCTTCCATGTTAACAGAGATGTATGGCACAAATGCTTCTACTTGCTGGTCCAGGAGTTCTTATTTCAACCTGCTGCCTTGGATCTGCTCTGAAGGTATTCCACCTTACTTGCTTAGAAAATTGGTTTCTTATTCTGTAATTACTTTAGCTATATTTTCCCCGCAGCTCATTTTTCCATATGAGTGGAATTGGACAACATCACTGTTGCTTGGAGGACTTCTGAGTGCTACTGATCCTGTGGCTGTTGTGGCTTTGTTGAAGGAGCTTGGTGCAAGCAAGAAGCTGAGCACTATAATTGAAGGAGAATCCTTGATGAATGATGGGTATTTATTTAGAAATTTATTCTTTGAACTTTTGATATTATTCTGTATAAAACACTCTGCATATTATTTGATATATCAGATACGTGAAGCCAACATGTTGCTTAAATGTATCAAATATTTCATTTTATTTCATGATGTCTTTTGAATATTTGCTATTCTATAATTGTGGTTGATTTGTGTGTCCAGGACAGCAATTGTGGTCTATCAGTTATTCTATAAAATGGTCCTGGGGCAGAGCTTTAATTGGGTGGCCATTATTGAATTTCTGGCCAAAGTCTCACTTGGAGCGTAAGTATCATTCATATTCCTTGAACAACTGTGATGGATGTTTCTTTGGTCTTAAGACCCTCTTCTTGGTTCAGTGTAGGCATCGGTATTGCTTTTGGGATAGCATCTGTATTGTGGCTTAGATTTATTTTCAATGATACTGTGATAGAGATTGCGTTGACACTTGCTGTGAGCTACATTGCTTACTTCACGGTATGTTTCTTTCAGAACTTTTGGACACCAATTTTTTTAGTCTTTTTCATTAGCATTTCAATCACATACCCATGCACATTGGCAAGATTCCATTATTTCAATCTTTTGCAAAATCTTAAAGATAACTCAAGGTTTCTTAATTAAGAGCTTCAAATGACAACCAAGATTGAAGAGCTAAATCTTTAGTCTCAATACTTGTTTGGCTTCTTGTTTTCGTTTTTTTCCCCTATTATCTCTCTGCATCTCTTGAAGTTTTTTTGTTTCTGTTGATCTGTTCACTTTTTCTTTTTTTGCCCTGCTTGTGACAGATAAGAATCCCATAATATTCTTGAGGGTTCTTTTGATTTATTTTATATTTAGCTCTCAATTCAATTACTTAAGCAACTGTGCTTCCAATCTTAGTTTGTTATATAAGCAAGAAACAACTTACATAACTGAGAAACAATATCAGGTTAAAAAAGTAATGAGAAACAATCAAATCTTTAGTTTTAGCGAGGGCATGACTCAATTTTGTAGCCATGACTCTCCCACATTGAGAAGGTCCAAGTTTAAATCCCCATCCTCTAAATTAACCATTAAAAATAATATAAGAAAAAAAAACTTTGGTTCAGAAACTTTTGTTCTTTTTTTTCTGCTCATCTTCTACGGAATTCTATGGGAATAAGCCTTTCATCTTTTTCTCAGTTACCACATGCTAAAGTTTCAACCATTAACAAACTAAATCTAGCATCATGATTTTGTATATTTGAGTTTGGAGACTATCTCTTTGTCACCAAGCTTAATCTTGTTATCAACAATTTTTTTCCATCAGTTTATTTTCTTATATTTTTCATGTGTAAGATGCATCTTTCTTATGCTAGTTGTCGAATGTAATGGCATATAGCACATGCTGAAAGAGCTTTATGGACGAGAAATTAATATGCATTTTATGTGATAGGCTCAAGAAGGTGTTGATGTTTCTGGTGTTTTGGCAGTGATGACTTTAGGAATGTAAGTAGAACAGCTCTATATGATTCCTTTACTAATTCTGAAAAAGAAATCTCTTGAGACTTTGATTTATGGACAGGTTTTATGCTGCTGTTGCAAAGACAGCCTTTAAGGCTGATGGTCAGCAGAGCTTGCATCACTTTTGGTATGCCTTGTGTCTTTCTAGTTTAGTGTAATTTTCTGTCTAATTAATGATTTCAAAGGTGAAGGTGGAGTATGCAGTTTTTTCTAGCGTGTCTGAATTATTTTGTTGATAAAAGAAGGAAGAAAAGCCATTTACATTATGCTGTGCAGTGTCTACTTTGATCGCTAGTAATATGGGATGTCTTAGTGGCATTATATGCATCTTTGAATTTTCGAGATATATGTAATATGTTTTCTGGAATAACCTTCTTGGACCTTTTACCTTAACTTCATTGTTCTCTTTTCCCCTTTTTTCCTTCTTCAGGGAAATGGTTGCTTATATTGCAAATACATTAATTTTCATCCTGAGGTAAGACCTTACTTTAGCATTTAAGATCCTTTCTCTTGTGATTTAACTCATTTCCAACTCATATATATATATAGATGCAAAGAGTATGCAAGAGGACTTTTTAGAATTTTGCCCTCTCCAAAGTAGAGTGTGGATCTGCTTCTTGTATTTCTTAGCTGGTACTGATATTATTTCTTTGTTGCATTTTTGAATCAATTATTTGTAGTAAAATAATGCAGGTTCTTAACACTCAACAGTTGAAGTTCTAATTAAGAATCTGTTACAGTTCTGATTTACTATGCAGTTGCTTTGAAGCTTAGAATTGAATATAGCTGGTCAAGTACTACAAAGGTTAGAATAAGTCCTATCAGTGAGAAATAATATTGAGGCATCATGACTAAAGGTCTTAATCATCACATCCAAGCACATGGATCTCACATCTAACAATTGTAAATGGTTTCAAAGAGCTTGTGTTTCTTCAGAGAAAAATAGTATAAGCTTTCTAAATGATCGTTTTCAAGAGGGTGAAGACATCTAAAATTCCTTTATAAAACTGTATGAAGATGTTTCAAAAAGTATAAGCCATCAGTTTTACTCATCAATAAGATGAAGAAGGAATAATACAGACTAGTTCCTTGATTGCAATGCCTTTGAAGAAGTGGTTAAGGCGTTCCCTTAGATTCTTTGCTCTTAAACCCGAAATTCATGAAGTTTGTTCAAACATAGAATGGGGGTTTTATCTTAAGAGGAGATCTCACTTGTTGTTAATACTTAAGTTTTTTATTTGGAAAAAGAAGTCTTTGCTCTGCTAAAGGAAAAAAATATTTTACTTATGTAAAAGATATTTAGCTTCCTCCTACTACAAAGCTTAACTTTTTATGTTGGAGAGTAGTTAAACTGATTGAATCTTCTAAATCTACTAGAAGGAGACTTAAAGGAGTTCTTTATTGTACTTTAATCATGTAGAAATTTGCAATTTGGCATCTTATTGTCATTTCATATATATTTGTTTTTATTTGTTGGCCAATACATATATCTTTTGTCTAAAATCTGACATCATGAAAGCAATCAAAATAACTAATAGACTTGTATATTAAAATCAGACTAGCAGCAAAATTAGAGACACGTGAGATTCAAGGCCTCATTTTATTTTTCCCCCTATCTGCTTTCAAAAGGGGGAAAACGATTTCTTGATTAGTTTTTTTTATTATTATTATTATTTATTTGTTTTATTTAGAAGTTCATGAAGTTTGTTCAAACATGGAATGGGGGTTTTATCTTACATTAACTAAGATATTGTTTTTTATCTTGCTTTTGCAGTGGAGTTGTTATAGCTGAAGGTGTTCTTGGCAATGATAAGATATTTCAGAACCACGGTATTGCTTGCTTTTGATTTGTCAAATTTAGAAAAAAATTATTTTCTTTTCTTTCAAATTTGAAATTGATAACAAATTGCTGCCTTAATTGGGAGTGTGAAAGGCTTTTTCATGGTCCTTTCAGCTTTCTGCATTAAGAAATAGGTGTATAAATGTCTAACACAGAGACACAGAGAGAGAGAGAGAGAGAGAGAGGCGGGGGAGGGTACAAAATGCGCTTCTACATGGCCATTTCAGTACATCCAGCTATTGTTAATTGATTTTAGTATAGACATGATTATAGCGGTCCGATACTAACAGATGTAAAAGAGGAAAAATCACCATGTGGGACAAAACAAGTTTCTAAAATTGAATATTAGACTTAATGTAAGTACCTTTTCATAGCAATAAGCATATAAGAAAAATTGATAATAAAAAAAGAGAGCCCGCTAAAAAATATATAGAAAACTAAGGAAGTGAAGAAACATGCATCAACTTAGGGATCTAACTTTCGGCCAAAAAACCAAAAACTTAGGGATCTTATTTATTATTTTAAAGAAACTATGATTCTAAATCACTCATATATTATCCTATAAAAGAAAGCCTACTAAGCTGAGCTGAAACAAAAAAAAAAAAAAAAGCACACTAAGCTCTATAAAGTTGACATTTAAGGACGTGTGCACCTGCTAAAAATTGCACCTGCCATGAACTTCTTTTGTGACGTCCAAATTAAATTATTCTATTAAAAATTTTGGATATCTGTTACTCGATAAACGTTGCTTTATATACATCTTCATATGGAAATTAAGGAGTAATATTACTGTTTTCATGTATTTTTAATAAATTATTTGTATTTGGAAAAGTTATCAAGTTACTAACTTCTTAAATATTTTCTCTAGTTAATCATATTTAAACTATTGGAGTAAAGAAAGTTTTACACCACTTACAGTTCTGTGCTCCTTATCGTCTTCCCTTTAAATTGCTTGTCCATTCTTTTCAAGTTTTTTTGTTTTAATATTTTCACTCTTGAAGTAACAAAGTTTCACAATTCTCATAGTTTTTAGCTCTTTATTTCTCTCCATTAAACCACTTTTTCTGTTACAGAACATCATTACTCTGTTTTTGCTTCAGGATATTCATGGGGCTATCTAATTCTTCTGTACATCTTTGTGCAAATATCACGTTGCATTGTTGTTGGGGCATTATATCCATTTTTAAGATATTTTGGATATGGTTTGGATTTAAAGGAAGCTGCCATTCTAATATGGTCAGGGCTGCGAGGGGCTGTTGCATTATCACTTTCTCTATCAGTTAAGGCAAGTTTGCGTAGATTAGGTTGTACAAGTTTACTTATATGTTTATATGTTTATGTTTTAAATGAATTCAACTTCTTGATGGCTGATTATTCATGCTTACAATTGGTATTGAATGTAAAATTTTTTGTGGCAATAAATTGCACATTTTGTTTACAATATTTGATTGTAACTTTGTTATGGACGAACATGCCATCTATTATTGAAACTTTGGTTTCTTTACAATGTTCATGTAGCATAGCATTTCTTCCTAAGAATATAACTGGCCAAAGCTGAGCTTTGTAGCACATTCTTCTCAAGCAGGTTAATATTTATCGTATAAAGCAAACAAAATGCCCTATCATCTACATGCATTGCTATGACTGCTATATCATATTAAGGTAGAAGTATTTTTTATGTGTTGTTAGTATTTTAATTTTAATTTGTTAAATTCTTGATTGTTTTTAGCATACCAGTGACAGCTCACTGAATCTCAGTTCTGAAACAGGAAGCCTGGTAAGTTTTTGCAGCTTGCATCCTGATCATATTGTAATACTTGGAAGTGGCATGGGGTGTATAACTGGAAAATCACATTGATATTTTTAATTTGCTGCAGTTTGTTTTCTTTACCGGTGGAATTGTATTCTTGACACTTACTGTCAATGGATCAACTACACAGTTCATTTTACATTTTCTTGACATGGATAAACTATCAGCAGCCAAGGTAATTGCTCATTACTTCCCTGAATATTTTAAGTCCCTCCACCCCACATAGTGTACTAGTTGCTCAATATTTAAAATATTCTAATATTGAATGATTTTGATGGATAGTGTTTTGCTCTTATTACATACTACTTTTGGTGGAAAATCTTGCACTCTAGGCTAGTGGTTGGATGAATATCTAAATCTTTTTTAGAATTGTTTTGTTGAGCATCCAACCCAAAATTAATTTGCAATGGGTGGAGGGTTCAACGTGAATATATGACTATTGCAAATCAATTCTTATCTGATTTGGGAAAATACTATTTAACAATCTCACTCACATGTAGGCCCAATACTAACAAGTTACGTGGACAAACAAATAAGGGGCAACAAGCAACGACAAAAAAAAACTAGGCCTCTGATACCATGTGAAGCATGTAATGTAAAATGGCAATAGTTAGAGCAGCCCAACATGAACACGTGGCCACATCAAACTCAAAACTGATTTGGGATAATACCATTTAAAATATATTATGCTGAAATTCTTCAATGAGAATTCCCATGGTATACAAAGGTGATAATGTTATTTAACAGAACCAATAAATCTTTTGATAATTTTAAATGAGATGTAGTCAATTCTAATGATTATTAAAATTCTATATCTTTTAAAAGAAATTAACTGGAAAAAGTGCTCTTTGCCTAAATGGTGCATCCAGCAATTTCTGAATTCAAAAGTATAGTGTATACTTGAGTAAAATTCACTCATTATATCATGTTAGACTCTTGGGCTGAGTTTAGGCAGTCTAAATGTAAGTGTCTTATATACTTGACTTATATTATGGGTGCTTATTCTTAATTTATTAGTTGCATTTCTAATTGGATGTTGAATTTTCTTTCTTTTTTTTT